ATGTCGAGGGTAAAGTGGGAGAAGAAAAGGAAGTTGAAATCAGTAAACATCTTTAAAACTCCTAGACGAAAGACACACGGAAGAGAGTATTATGAATTCCATGACAATGCAGTTTAAGAGATTATCACGCTCCGTATTAAAGCCACACTGTTGCGTCTAGGCAGCTCAACTCGTCGGTATTTGGTGCAGCCGGCCGCCCGTCCCTCCCACACCAAAGTGCGCTGCGCCGCGAGGGTCGGCGCAAGTTCGCGTGGGGTGCGTGATGCGAAGACGAGGCCGAGGCGACGGCGAGTCCAGGCGCCAAGCGCGGCGACGCGGGAAAAACGCCAGCGCGGGGTGGCGGTGGGGGGGGGACGAGGGGTCCGTTGGGCGGGGCCGCGTGGGGGATCCGGGCGCGGCTAGTTCTCGCCGGCTAGGCCCGAGGCGGCGAAGGAGAGGACGCTGTTTGTCCTCTCGCACCGTTCCGCCTTCGCCTCCTCCTCCTCCGCCCATTCCGCCCGAGAAGACAGTGCCGCCTTCGGGGACGCCGGCGCTCTGCCGACGCGCTAAATCCAAAGTAAAGACAGGGCGCGGCCCCGACGTGCCACTGGGCGGCAACCCGCAAGACCCGTAAGAGACGCAGCTGCTAACGCCGCCGTGTGAAAAGCCTCCACATTGAACGAAGCAAACGTATTTTTATTGGGAAGGGAAAATATTATGTCGAAACTTAAATATTAAGTACAGTATTAAACTCATTTCGTGAGATATAAATTGAAAATTATATGCGATAATTGTTAGTAGTTACATTATTTGTTTCAAATTTTACTTTACTAATTCTTCATAAGTTTAATAATTCATAAATTAATATTGAACTTATTAAAATACAATGAATAATAAAGAAGCAATTCAATGATTCGTAAAGTTGATAATGATGCTATCACAAAATAATTGTGTTAACTAAATTCGAGACTTTTGGAAATCTATAATAATTATTTTCGCTCTTTAAGAAACTGCAAACACAAGACATATTGACTATTATTAAAAATATATTGAGAACCTTTAAAAAAGGTTACTAATTTCTGTTTTGAACCTGATTGAAATGAATGTATTTAATTGTTTATTTAACAAACACAGCGCATTTAGACTTTACGCGCTATTGTGGACGTGTTATATCACAAAATTAGCAGAATAACGAAATACATGAAGTAGTAGAGGCAAAATAAAAATACTTATTAGGAAAGAAAATAACAGCAAAAAGTCTCTCGCTGACACATGTTAATTCGCCGAGTGCGCAAATACCGCTACATGCAGTTAAGTACATAAGTACATCGATGCTCAGCCGAGAATGTAAAAAAGGGATAAATAATGAACATGGTTGCGTTTGAATGTTTTATCGCAGCCCTCAGCGCGGACGCGTGTATTGCCAGTCGATCTACATTTGCACGTTATAAATGAATTGAAAACGTCGCGAGGTTCCAACATAAAAATTCAAGAGCGTTAAAGGAAAGAGATGGGTAGTTTGGAGGTTTCAAGAGAACATTGAAGGAGCTCCAGCGAAAGAAGTTTGCGGGAATAACTGGAAAGGGTGAACATCTGGCAGAGAATGAATAATAAGGGGAAAATCCGAAAGGGGAGCAGAAAGTAAACAGAAAAAAAACACGAAATAAAGTGAGATGAAAAGTCTTATAAGAACGGGAGGTAACACAATAGGTTAGTGGTGGGGAGTGGTGCGAGAGGAGAGTAAGAGGCTGAGGGATGGTGGTTATTGGTGGAGAAGGCTGGCGTAGAGCAGTGGAGGATTGTAGTACAAAGGAGAAGAGGGGAAGGTGAAGTAGAGTAGAGTAGAGAAAAGGACGGAAGAGGAAAGGGCGACAGGGGAAATGCGAGGAGTAAGTGCCACTCAGCGAAGGCAAGAGATGAGTGGAGAGAAGTAAACTGGCTAGCCTGGCGCCAGTATGTCGGGCTGAGAGCCAAGTTCCCCAGTCTAATTCCCAGGAGAGCACATTTTAGAGTGTGCATCGATCGTATTTCCTGCTTCATGGAAAACGGGCCGTCCGGAGGCGGCTGTGTCGGGCATTACGGCGGCTGGAGGTCGCAACGCGTCGTTCATTACGTACCATTGACACTCATACCGGTTATATTCAGTTTTACTCCACTGCGCGTATATTCTATTATTATGTGACATATAATATCATAAGATATGGAAGGAATGTACTTTAAATAATTGGGATTCTGAATTCAAAGATTTTTATTCATCTGAGTGATCAAATGAGCCTTGCAATTAATGAAAGTTTTCTTATGTTCTTCTAAAGAAGAAAAAGAGTTTCTTTGATGTTAGTAAAATGACTTAAAGATACTGATGAAACGAACAAAGAAAACAAAAAAAACAAACAAGAAACAATACTAGGTTTCTTGCAATTTGTTATCGTTTCTTCTAGATATATATTTTAGAATAATATGCACAGTTTATACAAAATAAAAATTTCGATGTAATAAATTGTCTCGAAACAACTAAACACACATGTAGATCTTAAGAAAGATATACATATCAAAAACAATCACAATCTATTGTGTAATAAAAGAAGAAATAGTAAATGAATTGTTGATTCTCACCATTTGCCGCCAAGGAAGATCTAAAAAGGAAAAAATAATGTTTTTAACTATATATGGAACATTTATAATTAAAAGTACACAGTAATAATGAATACTAAAATAAAATTAAAAGTATTCATAAACACATGATTATGATTGTGGCGTGTAATTCTTGAATTGTGTCAAATGCATAGAAGTAAACATATTTTTTCCTCCAAGTTGAAATTAAGAAACAAACTTTCATGAAATAAATATTCGTAGTAGCACTACCACGAGCTATATACATGAAACATCCTTTAAAGTAAGTGGCTTAATACAGACAAACTAAATTAATACATAAAGATAGTGAGCAAAAGTCTTCTTAAGATATATTACCATAGCCTAATAAGTTCATTTGACAATGATTTTTCTGTACAGTAAATATTAACTAAACACAAGAAAATACAATTTAAAAAAATATAACTAAAATATTATAACAAAATGTGTTCCCACAAATATACAAGCAGCACTTTCAGAAAAATTTTGCTCCAAACATTTTATTTATTGAGAAGGAACAATAGTTCTACAAAAAAAGAATGAATGTGCTTTCTTTACATGCTGCCATCTCACAGTAAAAATATTTGAATTCTGCAGTAAGAATATTTATAACCAAGTAATATTCGATACAAACTGTCAAGTTGGAAAACGCCTAAGATTGATGACTTTTTTCTAATTTAAGGTCGCATCAACATCTAGGTCATTAACGAACACTATTTCATTTAACAGCATGGTAACTATGAAGATGACATGATACACTATGTGATCAAAAGTATCCGGACACGTCCAAAATGGTTGTTATGACGTGGTTGTGTTTTTCATGGAGGGGGATTGTTGTGCACTATCACGGCCCAGGCTTACGGTGATGTTTTAAACACTTTCTAGCTTCCCATTCTCATTGTTGAAGAGCAATTCGGGGATGGCAATTGCATCGTTTAACACTATTGAGCACCTGTTCATCCTGCACGGCCTGTGGCGGAGTGGTTAGACGACAAAAACATCCCTGTAATGGAGTGGCCTGAACAGAGTCTTGACTTGAATTCTATCGAACAGCTTGGGAATGTTTTGAAACGCTGACTTCGTGCCAGGCCTCACCGACCTACATCGATACTCGTCAGTGCAGCACTCCGTGAAGAATGGGCTGCCCTTCCTCAAGAAACCTTCCAGCACCTGATTGAAAGTATGTCTGCGAGATTGAAAGCAATCATGAAGGCTAAGGGTGGGCCAACACCGTAATGAATTCCAGCATTACCGCCACGAACTGGAAAGTCATTTTCATTCAACTGTCCTGATACTTTTGATGACTTTATTAATTAGCTAATTTATTAATTAACTTAATTTATTAATTGACTTATTAGTTAATTTATTAATTAACTTTTGATAACATAGTGTATATGATGATAGAGGGTGAAAGGACGAACACGAATACAACCATGCCGAAGTCAGGATTCGAACTCGCGACCCTTCGGAGCGAGATCGCCACGGCACTACTGCCTTAACGGTCTCGGCCCCCGTGATCGGCATTGACGATTTTGAGTATCTTTAAAGCAACGTTTTCCCCTCGTAAACAGTGTCCCCGGGCTCACCTTTCCGGCGGCGGCGCGGGGGCGGCGCGGGGGCCTGAGCGCGTGCTCCCAGTCGGGGCCAGCGGCCCTGCGCGGGCGGCGGCGCGGCGGCGTCCGTGCGCGGGCGAGCGGGCGGCGGCGGCGGTGAGGGCGGGGGCGGCGAGCGGCGGTGGGCGGGCGGAGGCAGCTAGCCCCGCGGCGCCGACTGCACGGCGGGCTGCATTCTCCGCTGCGAGCGGCGCAACTGCGCACACACACGAAGAGCCCGCCTTAGGCACATCCATGACCTTACGTGGTATTGTTTAGAAAAGCGTTACCCACAGTCGGGATGAGGGACAGAGAAAAACGGAGGAAAAATCAAGGGGACATACTTTTATACAGTAGAAAAATATTCATAATATATTGTACATTAATAAATGTAATCAAATAAACTACATATTGTATCAAATATCATACAAGTAGTTGAATATGTTGTCTCCGACGCTGTAAACTGTTTCAAAAGTATTTTCAGTATTTTTCATATATTTGTGTTGACAATTCTGTTCACACTTTATTTCTTTTATGTCCAACCTTGTTCAAATATCTGGCACTGGACTTACCAATGAATCGTGCTGATAATGTTATACTCCCGTTCAAAAGTTCTCAACACCCAATGGCCTTGTGTGTTACCACCATACAGGATATGACCTGGTCTTATGGCAATTTCAGAATTATAATCGCCAACAAATTATAACAAATCCTGGCAAGTCTTGATGCTAATACACAAAATTTTAGTACAGCTATGTTTTACGCTTTTTAGGTAATATGCACAAAAATGCAAATAGCACATGTACATTAGAACAAATGCTAAATGAAAAGAAGCAAATCATTCCCAATTAGTTCCGAAAATTCTGTCGCTACATCTTTTACGACTACATTTAACTCTCCCCGTATTTCCATTGTTATTCCAGTACCTTCCATATTTTTCTCATGTAATTTTTGAAAAGATTAAAACTTAATAAACTTAGTCTCATTTGTCATTACTTCTTCTACCTCTGCAATTGCCCCATTATTCGTTTTGTGTCGAATCTAGCGTTGCATGTAAATCTAACATTAGAAGGCAATTATTTTGCATATTTATGTGAATAAGACGTTAGTTAAGTTTAATAAGAATTAGTTGTGGGTCACATTGATTTGAAAATTGGTATTTGCAAACTTAGGTAAGAACGGAAATCGAATATAAGAGCGTTCATTCATTCTCTATCATTTCTCAGTTTTGATTTCTCTATATTCATGTATATTTCTTCAAATTCAATAAATTCCGTGAAAATACTGTTCGTAGGTTTTCACTAATTAATTTTATTTTAAATACGAAAGTAAATCTAAATTGTAATAAAACTGCAGGGCGATATACTTGGTAATTTAATAATTCACTTAAAGATATTAACATCATTGTTGCCAATGTCGTGAAAGAAAATGACGGCCTATTACACAAAAAATTAGTATAACTCCTGGCATTATCACTAAGATCGCAGCACCAAAACACCAAAAAATACATTAGAATTTTTTTGAATCTTGTTGCCCGATCCGAAAACAAATTATTAGTTACCCACCAGGGGGCCGAAACGCGTCGAATGACACTTTATACGTGTCGATTGGTGCACGGGAAGTGGTCTTGCAGCGAGTGACGTACCTGCACACACACACGTACACTCAAGAGTTTTATTCAAATACTATATGTGTTATTTACACAATCAGCTGGAGAAACTACCTCGTTGTAAGCATGTATTCCTTGCATTTATTAGCGTAACAACTGCCGGTTTACCCGTGTTCCTGTCTACAGGCGCTTGAGGAACATACTTGGCCCCCGTCACATCCGGTTGCTGCCCGGGTCGATGTACTTGGAGGAGAGACAGCAATACTTCCCAATCCTCTGACGGAGGAAACTCTTCGGCCAATATTGATCCATTTCAAATATTAGTGTTTAAGGAAGGGAGTAGTTGACTTCGTTTTTTTTAGAGATTCAGGAGCCAGTACTAAATTTATCAGTTAAGGAAATTTAATAATCAAAAGTTGTTCGCCGCCGAAATTTACGAAAAACGGAAATTTTCTCTGATGTTGGTCAAAATTGGTTAGCGACATAATAAACATGAATGAAATTCTTAAAAGAAGCAAAGATGCTCTTGAATTGTTACACAATTCTCTATTTAAGAGCATTGGATCTTCTGTTTCCAGGTTGACAAGACCTCGTTAACCGAGTGCAGAGAGCGACCCGTGAACGACTTCGCTTGTTGAATGAGAGAATTCCCTGGGATTTCCGATTACGCAAGAGGGAGCAGTATTTTATTCATCGCCAATTCAGCACTCTTTCATTCTCTTTCGCAGTTAACACAAAAAAGTGCCCAATCGTCCCTAAAACTGTATTCAGTTGGCTTGAGAGTCCTGAAAGGCGTAAATTGAGTAATTTGACACATTTTAAAAATAACCTCTTTTCTCGATGTTCAAGCAAAATTCAAAACACCGAACACAGAAGTCTAGACAATGAATCAGAAATGTAATGTTTCAATGCAAAGATAGTAGGTACAATTTAATCAGAAAACAAGGTAAATCAGTTTTTATTAAAAAACAGTTTCTTACAAAAATATCGTACGAAATAATCAGGTTTTTATCACTAACAAAAAACAATCACACTGACAATAGTTCAGATTATTACAATTGAATCATCATTATCCATTTCCAGAAAATTTATTAAATGGAATATTGCACTCATGAGAACTTCATCGATGAAATATAACGAACAAATCTGCCTCGTTGAATTAGAGGAGTTTTATTAGTGCAAATTTATAGCTTTAGTTTTAACGCCTTGTACTTTTAAATTTATGTACTTATTTCCAACATGATCTAGAAAATTCCAAATGAATATAAAATACATATGAGTGACCAGTATGTATTAACAAGTTTTTGATGAAGAAACGAGGTAAGCAAGAGGAACAGGTTCGTCTTTTTCTTACTCCTAATACTTCTTACCTAAAACCTAACTTGTGGTATAAGAATTGTCCCGTTGGTCGGAATACAATTTCTACACTAACAAATATTTCTGTTCAAAAATTAGGGTTGGAATATCTCACAGAAAGAAGCAATCAAGTTGCTCGACAAAAATATTTCACATAAGGTCCTAGACGGATTACAAGAACAAGAAGCTATGAAATTGACGTGTCACGGGGAATTCATATCCGTTAAAACGAAGACTTGTCTTTGCTTTGAACACAATTGCAGGCTATCTACTCAATTACATTTTTTTCTTCACTATATCGCGTATTATATGTCACACGAATAAATCTGTGTCTCATGACACTTTTGACAACCATTAAAAAAAGATCGTGATCCAATACATTCTAACATGTCTAAATAATATAGAAATTAATATATAAAATGACTAGCAGCTTAGAAAGAAGGAGAATAAGTATCTTCAGAGCAAAGCGTAATGGAAAAAATAAGGTGATTGATTGTGGAAGAGCAGAACAGTTGAAATGGAAAAAATTCACATGTATACTTGTAAATAGAAAATGTCGATGAAGAAAGAGGCGTATGAGTAAGGATGAATATTAGTGAGAAGACAATTAATAGTATAGAAAATTCAGAAGAAACCAATTGTGTAACAGAGAAATAAGATAAAAAGATGGTGTATGCATAAAAAGAAGAGTATGAGGAATATATGGTGTGTCTCGGTGTGTTAGAGAGAGAGAGAGAGAGAGAGAGAGAGAGAGAGAGAGAGAGAGAGAGAGAGAGAGAGAGAAAGAAAGAGAAGGAGATAGAGAGAGGGAGAGATAAAGGGTATAGTGGGAGAGAGAGAGAGAGAGAGAGAGAGAGGGAGAGAAACAGAAACACAGAAAGAGAGTAAGTGAAAATTAGAGAGGCAGGGAAAGAGAATAATGCAAAACGTGGACACAATACGAAGTTCGTATATGCACTATAGTAGAGTAAACCGATCATATGATTATTAAAATCAGGCATATAACAACTAAACTCTGTTTCGGGAGATGATTTGATCCGTCAGGAGTCATGAAAACGCCTTGATTAGGAGAGCAATGTTTTAGCGAAATTGGCTAAATCAAAATCCAGCTTTCAGGAACCCAAACAATTAATTACGTCACTGATTTAGGATTTTTAAATTTAGTAAAATTCGTATGAGAGACATTTGAGCTAAGAAAATAACACCTTGGAATTGACCGCTCCATTCTTGGAATAGTGGGCGCAAACAAGTAAAGAGAAGAGAACGGGAAATGAAAGAAGCACAATAAAAAGCTTATGTGAGGTGCCGTTCGAAATCGAGGCGGCATCGCCCAGGGGAGGGGGGCGGGGGTCGCGAGCGAGGGGCCCGGGCTGCTGGGGAAGGGGCGGCCGCCGCCAGGACCGGCGGCGCTGTAAAAAATTCAGCGCGCCCGCGCCGCCGCATCAAACATTCAGAGCGCGCGGCGTCGCGACGCACATCACCGCCACGCGGAAGTCCCGGGATCGATGGTCGGGGGCGGCGAGCGGCGCCGCGCTGCCGCCTGCGAACTCCACCCTCCCTCCCCGCGCCCTCCTGGCAGCGCACCCGCCGCGCCACCGGCGCTCCCCCTTCCACCCTGTCACGCAGCGTCGCTGACCGGGAGTCTTGTCAGTCGCGGGTTTTCGACACCGGATCGAAGCCAGTTCAAATTCAGGCGCTTCCTAGAGGTGAATTGTAGTAGACCACTGCTTTGAACGGTGGTCTCTCGCGGTTTATACGATCAGTACTAGGAACATGCCGGGTCATGGAAAGCTCGCATTCTTTCCTTCCTCATCCTTGTCCCTTCCTCTCCCCGTGTACAAACACAATTACATGCTCTACACTACCACATTACACGGGAACATATAGCTAATTGCAGCTGGGGCGATTACCCACATGTGGAAATACCTGGATAGGGAAAAGCCACAAGACGAAGTGTAGAACAATGCTGGGCCTCACGTTTCTCTAGGGGAGGAACACCGCAACATTCATTCTATAACATTCACAATGCTCGCTGGACTAATATCCAAAGACGTCTCCCACGGAAAAAAAGTTTACTCGCTCATCTCTTCCTACCGCAGTCTCGATTACGCCCCATCACCCTCACACCAGATCTACGGCACCACTTTGTCGCTTTACTTCACTTTCCTTATGTCTCTTCCACTTCAACGTTTTTTAACTGATATATTTTCTGCAAAAATTAGTAACGTTGAAAAATAGTAGCGCCCGTAATTTTTCTCATTACCCATACATTTAACAGTTTTGAAAAATTCA